AAAGGACTGTCTGCCTTCGTCTGAGATTCACGTCCATCCAGTTTGGCAATTTACCCTGATGGTACCATGTCAAGTTTATAGGCTGCGCTACTCGGGTTCGAGTCCCACTGGGGGCACTGATGAGACCAATTTGGCCGATATTGAAACTGCAGTCCATCCAAGCCTGAATGAGAAAAGTGAAGTCCGCTCATTTCATTCAAACGTGGATTGACAAACGGCTCTTTGGCATGATCACCTTTTTATTTTAAAACCTACGTACTGGGACTTTTGAAAGATCCGTCCTTCGTTTTGGTGGGCAGCTTTGATGATTTCACAATAAAGCAAAGGCTGCGGCTCTAAATTTGCTAAAGCGGGTTTTGTGGACTCACACGTCTTGGGCTCCATTCTTGTTTAAAGTCAAATGGATGGCAACAAAGACGAGATTTCCCCTTAAACGGAAACGAGTTCTGCTCCAGTTTACTCTCGAAATGCAGACGTTGTTGAGAACTCACAGAATTCAACTTGTGCCGACATTTGGGAAGGTGAATTGGAAAGAGGTCTGTCGTCTGTACCGGATCTTTTTAACTTTTTCAAGGTTCGACACATCTTCATCGGTCTTGGAATGCTCATTCCGACCGACAAGCTGGTGAGGCTGCATTTCGCAGAGGCAGCCAAACAAGCGAGAATAGCATCTGCCCAGTCGGAGGAGTGTGGACAACTGGGTTTGCATGAAATTGTTCACTTTAATCCAATTAGCTGGCCAAAGGGATAAACGGTTTTGCTCTAAACTTTCGAGTGCATTTGCATTTCCCCACTTGAAAAGGGGATTATTCTCGCCACAATTGCAGGGTTGGGCGGCCTGTGCGTCAGCCGGGCGAAGAGTGTGTAAGCGCACTGACGCGACGGAAGTGGAGGATGCCACTTCAATCGTTCAGTCAGACTTGCCTCGTTCTGTTGTGTGATTTTGCAGAGTCCCCTTTGGGCGAGACGGAAAAAGCATAAAGAACCGTGTGATGGGTTTATGTACAGTCCGGCCTGGACGAGGCGACGCTTCGGCGGTGGAAGGGTTGCAGGCGAGAACAATGCGCCACGGGCCAGGAAGTAGAGCAGGTCTCAACAGGTCTCGTGTCTACAAAAGAGGTTGTTCGGCCAGGATGGTCCTCCCCACCCCCCATTGTTGGGCTGGCCTTCACTTCGGCCACTTTGGTCCGCCGGTGACGACCGTCCAGTCAGTCGAGTGAAAGCTTATCTAATGCACAAAAACTGGCGTATTTTTAGTCTGATTACAACGCTGCTACTTGTATACGTTATGAGTAGTCTGCGAGAATGTCAGTAGATCCGTGAGAAGAGGTGAGACAGGAAGC